AGTGCCGACACCAACACCCCCCAGAAATTAAGAAATTTTTGCCTTATCCCTCAGAAAAAAATGCAAAGATCAAAGGTTACGGATGCACACAACCCCTAGAAATGGCTTTTTCAACCCCCTCAGAAATTCTAGTCCATGGGAGGAGGGGGTGTATATTAAATGGATGGCCCATTGCCACTTAAAGGGTTAAAACGTAAATACCACAGCACAACACTTGTACATATACATATACAAGTAATACAACAGCAATCCTTTTATATATTTAATAGTCATATTTACATATTGGTGAAATATCAATGTCCATATATTAGGGATGTCCATGAACTTGCCCCTAGTTTGAAGCTAATGTATTCATATATTTTGTATAAGTTGTCCCTCTACAAACCAACTTTTAGTCATTATACAAGAGTTGAATTTGCATTCATTTGCTTCGCAAGTCGCAACAAACTGAACAAAGTACTAAACCATAAACCTGTGCAATGATCGAGCGTCTTTAGCGGCATATCCAAGTCTTTTAAACGTCTCATTGGAACAAATCTCACTGAGTTTTTTCTACAGAAAGTATTGATGCATTTGATCGATCGCCGTACTTTGAGAAAAGCTTGAAATGCAAAATTTACAGGAAAGATTGAAGAATTTCGGAGATAAAAACTGTTTGTCTTCGAGTTTCACCTATTCACCCCCCGGTTGAGAAAAGTAACAATTACGTATGTTGGAGTCACGTGACCAGCGTTTACCAGGGCTACGTCGCCGCCTTCAATTCGCGACTAGCCCTGGGTACGAGGTTGTTATTAAATATCCAAACTTAGCTATAAAAGTTCTACTGCATGGAGCCAGGGGCAGGGCCGAAAAACGCCAGACCTTCTGGGTACAAAATTATGACAACATGCTTTCAGTTGCACTTGTGCTGTTTTCCAGAAAGTTGCTATATAAATGCTTAATGCGCACTTTTACAAAATAAATTTTATGGGGAGGGGAAATCCAGCAAATAATGGCATAATGGTATTGGCCCGCCAGCCCGCATCCACTTTAGGAGAAGCTCCGGATGAGAAACTAATATGCAACAAATAGTGGGCTTAATACTACCATTTATTTGAGGGAGTTTGTTTTGGCTGTCGTCGCGTTGCCGTCCTAAAATCGTAAGGTCTCTAATAACCCCTCCGTGTGATCGTTAAATCAATTGCCGTTAGATGCCTCTATATATACACCCTTTAGTTACTGCTTTGCTCTTTCAGAGAGATTACGACACGCAGTCTTGGTTCATTTATTTGTTTGAGAATAAGTTTCACTTTAACTTAATATATACGCTTACTACATGTTTCGTCGGTTTTAATATAGCCTAATAGCTCAAAGCAACAAGAAAGAAATTCGTTTTTTACGGCAAAACGTTTTTGTATACCCAACCATGCATGTATTAAAGGTGATCTACAGTCCGTATGTAAACAAAGGCTTTGTTTACATTTTTGTGTCCAAAAAATTGAGCTTTATTTGACAACTATTTATATTTTCAAGCTTCTAGAGTATAATAAATGATCAAGAAACAACAATCAGGCTTTTCAAGAACTCAAAACATAGTTAAACTGTTTGTATCATAAAAAGTGGGCTCATTTGTGCACATGCGCAGATCGGACTGTAGATCACCTTTAAAGTTGATTGTTTATAGATTCTAATTTCGTACCTTGTCTCTCTATGCACATGAGAGCAATATAAATGTATAGTAGTATACTCATAGGCGTACGGGATTCATATATCTATTGGAGGAGCTGTGGTCTATATTGCCCGAAAATATTTGGGCCCTTTCTTGACTTTTCTTTGGGGGATTTTAACCCCCCCCCCCCCACCACCACCCGAACTTCAACGACTTAAGATTGTAATGATTTTACGATATAAATATACTGTTAAGAAAGCGAAGAAAAACTTGAAATTACGCGTTGACCGACTTCAAGCGATGACGGGGATTACATATGAACCGCTTTTCACGCGAAAAACATTACTCTCTAATAAATTGTATAATATACTTTCTTCTAATATTCTCCTGTGATAGATGTGTACATTCGGAGGAAATCGGTGCATATAGTTTTAGTTACCAAGATCAGTATGTTTACAGTTCTTTCATACATGCACTGATAAATAATAAAAAGATAATACCGGCGGATAAAATTAGCAACGCGTGCATGTCAATTTCAGTCGGCACATGCGTCAGGACTTTTGCTCTATGTTATAAAGCTAGCATAAATGCTGGCATATTTATAACTTAGTCTCTATCCAAAAAACAGCCATATTTGAAAGATAGTGAACAATTTTGTATGTTTTTAACGCGAAAAATTTAAGTAAATGCATTAACAAATTATAGCTTATAAATAGTCGAATTAGCGAAAATTGACTATATTCATGACGCATTTGTCAAGCGAAAAACACACTGCCCAAAGATTTTATTATTTATTCTAGTAGATGTGTCATAATACTCAGTAGCTGCAATAGATTGGATACCTGATACCGTTGCACTTTTGAGAAAAAATAATTTACCGCCAGCATGCTAACACGAATATTTAATCAGCTGTCCGAAAGACGTTTTTTAAAAATACATAATATTTTGTTTGCTTCAAGTGACCAGCACAATTTTTAGTTTAGGTTTATGCCTAGGCAGGAAATAATAAAATATGTAAGTTTCAAGAAGTTAGAATAAAAGCGCGAGATGAACTGTGAGATATAAAAAAGCTCAAATATCACTTGCGTAATTAACGTTTTAACTTGTTTTCGAACGCGTCCGAAAATAATTGCGAAAAAATTTTTAAAAATGACTACAATTTCCAAGACAACGTTTTTTGTTCATTTTATGAATGACTTCTTCCACACAGAAAGTTTGAAGGAAATCTGTAATCTTAAGAAATTCGAGTGGTCGGTTTTTACACGGACTGCCTCTTAATACTAATGCATGCATGTAAGCTTTTCCAAATGTTGATATATAGATTCACTGAACTGAGAGGGAGGGATGGGGATCGAGAAATAGAGTACGTACTATCTGTACACTTGTGAAAATGTTGATAATCATGGACGACACATAACATTTGTTTGTATTCATTTATTGATTTCGGTAGATGCAGTAGTTTGTAAACAGTTGAAAACGAAACGACTGAGGAAATGTGTAATGAAAATTTATTGTCATTCTCAAAGCAGGCTTACTCAAATAAAGCCCATTGCTCCAGTCAAAATCAGCGCATTGCGCTGGTATGCGTGCTTGTTTTTTTTTAAGTTACTCAGCCTGTCTCCCAGTTAATTTTAATTGCCTCTGACAAAGCGTTCTGCTAAAACAGGACATTTCAAGTCACATTGTGCCCTATTATATAAAATGCCCCGTTTTCAGATACGTTTTATCATTATAGCTCTAAAATACAGCAAACGCTTACCCGAAATAAATTCTGCATGGTTATACAATATCGAAACAACAATTATATCGGAAACATTGAACTGGATTACGTTATACTTAGCCTTTGTTCCAAAACATTATTTGACTGCCAGTCATACGAGAAGCAATCCAGCCATACGCTACTGTTTATGTTTGTTTATTTTATATAAAACGGGAATATGAACAAAAATTATGATGTACGGTACAAAAAAGTAATATATAGTAAAATGCACAAATGATTCTCTGACTGGTTGTGTTCAATTATAAATTTCGCGATACGCACAATTTCATTGCGCTGCAAACCAGTGGCGTAAGTTCGATGAGCTCCACCCGGTAGGCAGGGTCTTAGCTAGGATTTTAGATCTTGGGCGTGTTTCTAAATGACCAGGGTGTGCACATGTCAATTACCTCAAATAGCCAAATTCACGGTTCTAGTTATGCTCGCCAACAACAGACAATACATGTGTGGTTGTTCTATGCTTTGCAACCAAATACAACACGAGCATACGCTCATATTACGCACTGACATTAAAATATTAAGTTTTTTCAGCAACTCTTGGGGGTATTTAAAACCATTTTAACACCATACAGTTCCATGCAGATCACAAACATCACATGCAGATCACTTTCGCCAATTTCAACAATAACCGTAGATTTTACAAACTTTCTTACAACGTACAGTGAATAGGAAGAAATTCTGTCTGTTATTTTATGAACCTACACGGCCTTATATAAATAATGAAACCGCGTTCATCTTATCTAGCCGTGTTTTTCCCTTTTTGGCCGCGATAACACGGCCAACACGGCCCTCTAGCTAAGACCCTGCCGGTAGGAGCAGGTTGAACCCATGCAGACTATCGGGCTTCCAGGGGGGGGGGGGAGGAGGGGCACCCTGAACTGAGTGGTCCAGGAGCCTTTTTCATCTAATTTTCGTTTGTACAACTATTAAGAATCTTGCATATTAAGATTTTATTTATCAACGGCACTAGCACAGTAGGTATATAACGTGACCTCCCAAATTTTTATTGTCGCTCTAATGAGCAAAAATCCATGTGTCATCAAAATCCATGTGTCATCAAAATCCATGTGTCATCAAAGTTGGTCAGAAGAACGTACAGCGGTCTACAATGAATAAATAAATATAATAACGCCAATAATAATTGCCTTTAATGCATGCAGTATACTTTGTCATATATGAAGTGCACCTGTATAAAAATGACGATGACTTATGGCAAAGATTATCGGAAGATTCCAGAAACATTGAACATTGTTCTTAATTTTTACCTTAGTGTACGTTTCTATACATTTCGGTTAAACGTCTGCTAAAGCAGCCTTTACACAACATACTCATTTGTTTATAAAAGCACATACATAATCCAGGGCCTTTTTAAACATACATGCTGGGGCAATTGTCCCCCTCCCCCAGTCCACCCCCACCCCCATAAATCACATCCCCCCCCCTCCAACCAGGAATAATCCCTTTTTCCTAAATTTATACAAACAGCTAGACGAGAAAAGAATAACAAATATATAAACGGAATGCAAGTTTTAGGTTTTATCAATTGCCCTTGTTTAAATTAACAAAATCGATTTAATTAAATTGTTACGTTTTTCTACAACTAAGTAATTATAAATTATTGTTAATATTTTTTTAAATATTTTGTGCGTTTTTTTCGACCTTTATTTCATGCGCGGTAGGTCCAGCCACATGTAAATCCCCCACTAATATATTATGTCACAGAAAGGTCCCTTTTAAAATAT